AGAGATTAAAAAGAACTTTTAGGCATTATAGTTATCATTGGATATCGCTGCCTTCATTTTACTTAAACATTCATTAAAAAAAAACTTTGTTTACAATCAAATATAAATGTATATTTAAATAATTATAAATTTTAGACATTATAATTTTATATTAACCCTCTCATATAATTTTATATTAATAGGTATTCAACTTTGATAGGAAATCTAATGTCAGCTAATATATTGTTATCGTGTGATATAAGTCATCATTCATCATATATAAAGATTAAAAAGAGAAAACATAAACTTATGGTGCATTATGGAAGGAAGATAATTATAAACTTTCTTCTCTCCCTCCCTTCATGACAAAGAAGACAATCTTAAACTTATTTATCTTCTTTTATGATAATGAAATTTTTTTTCCCCTCCTTCGAGATACAAAAACATATTCTAAACAAGGAAATGGGGGAAAGACACTCTTTTCTTGAACTACTCGAGGCTACATTCAAGGATCTCAGATTAGAAACTCGAGCGTAGAGTGATCAGGTCCGAAAAACTCCCTTGACTCTAATCTTCTTGTAAATGACACCTTGGGAGCACAAGACATTCATCTCAGACCCACCTAAGTCTCACTTTGGAGTCATCTCGGATATGCTTCGGATAATCTTGCATATACAAGTTTGGACCATATTAAGCTGATCAAGATGTCAATAATTATTTTCTTATCATGACACAAGTCAAAGAAAAAGTAATATTATATTTGTCGTCGCTTGTTAAAGTGATACATTAATTAGACACTAGAATAGATGTATCCATCTATAATAAAATTATTTAGATATTTTAGATCATGAGGTTTACATTTTCATTCATCCTAACCTAAATAGTATATCTTTAAAATTAATTTTTGATTTAAAGTGTGCAATGAAACTAAAGATCTCTTTTAGGTGATTAGTTGGAAGGTAATTTATTTCATATATAATATTATTTTTTTCTACCAAAATTTATGATTTTAGATATCTCACTAAAAATACAGTATACTATGCATGCATGACATGCAAATGCACATAATGACTATAAATACATAGGTGACTTATGTCCTACATCTTATAGTGCAAAAAGAGATAGAAAAGAAATTACTGAAGAAGCTTGATTGTATTCACATGTCCCTCTCCTATTTATATAGATTAGAAGGGAGGATTTTCCTTAACAGATTAGAGGATTTTCCTAAACAGAGTAGAGATATTTTTTCATATAGTTGAAAAAATCTTATCTGCTATCATGTCTCTGCAAGATGGTGCTCCTATCAAGGACACCAATCTTGAATCGATGTAATGCAAAAAAGTGTAATGCAAAAAGGTGGCGAGCAAGAGGCTTCGTGAGTGAGTCAGCTAACTGATCAGCCAAATGGACATGAGAAACTCATTGTTGACGATGGACAACTTGATCTTGCACAAAATGGAAATCGATAGCAACATGTTTCATGCGGGAGTGGAACAACGGATTAGCGCACAGATAGGTAGCTCCGACATTGTCACAATATATTATAGGAGTGGAGTTGATGTTGAGTTCTTTGAGGAGATTTATGACCCAATTGAGTTCTGCAGTGGTAGTGGCGATGACACGTTATTCAGCTTCAGTTGTAGACCGTGCGATTGTCTTTTGCTTCTTAGAACTTCAACTAATTGGATTAATGCCAAGGAAGACAATATACCCTGATGTGGATGTTCGATCATCAAATATGCCTGCCCAATTAGCATCGATAAAGGCATGAAGCTGAAGTGGAGAGTATTTACAAAGAAAGACATCATGATTGAGAGTCCCATTAAGATATCGAAGAACTTGTTTGACCGTAGACCAATGCATAATAGATGACCTCTGCATAAACTATGATAATTTGTTGACTGCAAATGAGATATCGGGATGGGTGAGAGCTAAGTACTGTAGAGAACCAATGACTTGTCAGTATTGAGTGGGTTCTGTAGTAGGACTTCCATCAGATAATATGAGAGAGCCACTAGCAGATAGAGGAGATTTAACCACATTTGCATCTTGCCTATTTGTTTTGGATAATAAATCTTGAATGTACTTTCTTTGTGATAAAAAGAGACCGGAAGATGTGAATGTAGCTTCTACACCTAGAAAGTAGTTCAGGGGTCCTATATCTTTGAGCGAGAATCAATTTGTCAACTGTTTGATGAATGTTTGGATTTCTATGGGGTTGTTGCCTGTGACAATGATGTCATCCACATAGACCAGAATATATATTGTGTCGCTTTGATATTGTCTCAAAAATAACGAGGAATCAGATTTGGAGTTGAGAAAGCCAACTAAAGTCAGAAAAGAGTCAAGTTCAGTGTACCAAGCTCTTGAAGCCTAACGAAGTCCATAAATAGCTTTTCGAAGTTTGCAGACATGCCTTGGATATTAAGGATGAGTGAAATCAGGAGGTTGTTGCATAAAAACATCTTCAGTTAGAGTCCCTTATAAAATGGTATTATTAATATCCAATTGGTGTAATTATCAGCCCTTAGTGGTGGCAAGACTTAGGATAAGTCTGATTGTAATGGGCTTAACAACGAGACTAAATGTCTCAATGAAATCAACTCCAGGTCTTTGATGAAACCCTTTAGCAACGAGGCGTGCCTTATATTAGGCAATAGAGCCGTCGGGGTTCTGCTTAACTCGAAAAACCCACTTATACCTGATGATGTTTTGTATATGATGAAAGTGTACTAGATCCCATGTTGAGTTATGGAGGAGGGCATTATATTCCTTATAAATGGCAGTACGCCAATGTGGAGATTTTTGAGCTTGAGTGAAGGTGGTGGGTTCAACGGTGGTGGATGAGGAATCCACGATAGCATGAAGATCAAGGACCTGACGTGGTTTGAAAATAACACTCTTAGAGTGTGTGGTCATAGGATTGTTGGAGACTATGGGATAGTGAGGCTGTGTTGTTGGAAAAAGCGATTGAGAGTCATTGACACAAGCCGGGTCAGCTGGAGGTACGTCAGGATCACTTAGTCGATAAAGAGGTAAAAATAACGATTGTGATCCTGAACCAAGTACCCCAATAGTCAAAGAAGAGAGAAGTGGAGTAGGAATGGGCAATTGCTGAACTGGAGGAGTGGAATAGTGTGGATCATGAGAGGAGGAACTGGATGATGTCATGAGAGGCTTGTCCGGTTGGATCGGAGGTATACCCCAATGAGAAATAGTTAATGAGGTGGTCTGCATGGTAGGAGAGGTATGGTTTTGAAAAGAAAAGATAGACTCAACAAAAATAACGTGACACGATATAAAAATTTTATGAGTATGGAGATTATAGCAGCGGAAAGCATTATGTTCAAGAGAGTAACCTATAAAAACTCAAGGATTAGATTATGATGTTAACTTGTGAGAGGCATATGGATGCAACCATAGATAATATAGACAACCAAATACTCCGAGTTTCCGAAGGTTTAGGGGTTTGTGAAATAGTGAGTCAAAGGAGGATTGGTATTATAGGTTTGTGAGGATAGGCATTCTATTAATAAGGTAGACGACAGTTTGAAAGGCTATCGTCCAAAAGTTTGAAGGCATGGAGGCTTGATGGAGAAGTGTGAGCCCAGTTTCTACTATATGCCGATGTTTACGTTCGGCGGAGCCAACAAGTTGAGGAGTATGCGGGGGAGACTTGAGGTGTTGGATATCACAAGCTGAGAGATAGAATGCCAGGGCTTGATATTCACCGCCACCATCTGAGTGAACTGTTTTGATGGTAGACTGAAAGTAGTTTTCGACTAACTTTTGAAAAGTGAGAAAGACAATCGAAACG